GTTTAACACAGGGGCTGCAAAGTGTCCAATGAAGTCATGAGCTAATGTCTTTCTTTTGTATCCATCTCTGTATCCCTCAACAGCTAGCATGAGGCCTGGCAAGTAGCTGTCCCTTAATATCTTTGAATGAACTTAGTCAAAACCACTTTGTAAATATAAATAAAATGGTTCCTCTGCTGTGTATGTAAACCAAGCAGAGGCAGTAGAACATCTTTGAGCACCTTGCTATTCAAAGCATGGTCCAAGCAGCAGGATCTTCTGGGTGTCCACTGGAAATGAAAACTCTCAGGCCCCTTCCCAGACCTACTGAATCAGAATCTGTATTTTAACCCTGGTTATCTGGTATGTACAACCAAGTTTAAGATCAATGCTCTAAGGATAGGAACAATGACTGCATTTTAGCCTAATGTTGAAAACTATCTTCAGGAACCAAACACTTGGCAACTCTACCCACTGCCCTTTTAACCCTTAACTTCAAAGTGATACTTTTAACTTTTTGATACAGCCAATAGGACAATGCCCTATGAATTAATTCACTTCACTATTAATGAATCTCAACACTGGCTGCACAAAAGAATCACCTGATGACTTTTAAAAATAGTCATCCAGGCCCCATCCCTAGATTCTGATGAATTTGGCCTGGGCATCCTTATTTTTTATTCTAACGTGCAGTCAAGATTGAAACCACTACTATGTGAAGTCCATGAGTTTGAAAAGTGGTTTCATAACTTGTCCTTGGGAGTCGATCCTAACCTAAGGCAGTAGTTCTTAATCTTGGCTGCATTTCAGAGTCACCTGGGGAACTTAAAAATATAAATTAAAAAAAAAATCCATGCCAGGGTCTCATCACAGAGAAGTTAATCAGAAAAAAGGAAGGGAGCAGCAAGGGATTTTTTTTTTAAGTTACCCCGGTGATTTGAATATGCAGCTGGGGTTGAAAATCCCTGCCTTAGAGAGTTGTAGCCTCACACAGGTTTCAGCAGATAAGGTAGATACAACTTGTTTCCTTGTCTTATAGTCCTGGAAACAGGCAAAAGGTGCCACAGGGGAAAATTAAGACAGAATCCAGGGACAGAACTGCTCTGGAGAAGGCTGTAAGCCAGTGTGGCTTTCTCTTTGCACCGTTACCATTACAATTAACGGCGGCAGATATTTTGAGTTTACCAAGCACCGCATTAGGTGCTCTACCCGCATTATCCCATCTAAACCTCACTGCCACTCCACAAAGTAGAGACCCGATGTGGTGGTTCCGTCTGGCTTCTCGAGGTTATGAGACTTGTCCAAAGTTTCGGTAACTGGCAGCTAGCATTTGAATGCAGCGGTGTTTGCTTTTGCTCGTTGTCATTAGGTCACCTGACCTCCTGGCAGGGGTCAAGCCAACACCGTTAAGCAGCGGGGCTGGGGAGCAAGCCAGATGCCCCCCAGATCACCCCCACCTGCCGTAGGCGCAGCCTGGCTGCCCGGTCCCCCGCCCCCACCCCGAGCGGGCCGGATCCGTGACCCCTGCCAAGGCCCAGCAAAGTCACCGCGAGTTACCTGCGCGAGCACCGAGGCCGGCTGCGAAGCCCCGGGCCTTGTCCGGGTCCACGCGGGGCACAGCGCGGTGCTGAGCGGCCGGGCCGTGGCTAGCGTGGGGACCCGGGGCAGCGGCGCGAAGGCCGCGGGCAGGCGGCGGACCCAGGAGGAAAGGACACGAGCCGCCATAGCTACGTCGACCCAGGATGCACTGCGCCGCGGCGTCCGGCTCAGGGCTCCTCTCTGGCTGCGCGCAGGCGACGCACAAAGTGGCGCTGCCGGGCACCGCCGGCGGTGGCGGCCCCTGGCGGCTCCTGGCGGCACTGCAGCCTTGGGGCCGCGTTGTGCGGCCTTCCAGATTCGCAGGCAAATGGCTCGCTCCTTCGTGCCAGAATTAAACTTGCAGACGCCGTCTTTCCCCTAAACACATTAATCTTTGATACAAGAAGGGAACTTACTTTTATTCCTCCTCTGAAAGTTCTAAAATACACATTTTTTTAATGACGGGGGGAGTGAGGAGGGGGATTCAATTTCTTTTCTTTTTTTGAGACAGAGCCTCATGCTGTCACCCTGGGTAGAGGGCAGTAGCATCATTATAGCTCACAGACGCCGTCTTTTCCCCTAACCCCTTAATCATTGGATACAGAAAGGAAACTTTTTTTTATTCCTCCTCTGAAAGTTCTAAAATACACATTTTTTTAATGACGGGGGGAGTGAGGAGGGGGATTCAATTTCTTTTCCTTTTTTTGGTGGGGGGGGGGACAAAGTCTCACTCTGTCACCCTGTGTAGAATGCAGAGGCATCTTCATAGCTCACTGCAGCCTCAAACTCCTGGGCTCAAGCGATCGTCCTGCCTCAGCCTCCCAAGCAGCTGAGACTACAGGCGTGTCCCACCAGGCTGGGCTAATTTTTCTATTTTTACTAGGGAAGGGGGTCTCACTCTTGCTCAGGCTGGTCTTGAACTCCTGAGCTCAAGCAATCCTCCCGACTGGGCCTCCAGAGTGCTAGGATTACAGCCATGAGCCACCACGCCCGGCCCAATGCCTTTAATTTAAAATAGAATGCATACTATGATCCCACTATTGTAAAATTATTTCTACTTATGCATTCCTTTAAAAAATTGAGTATTTGTTATGTGCTAGTTGTTAAGGCAACAGCAGTGCGTAAGCCAGATAGGCAGTCTGTTTTCATGGAGTTTACTTTCTAATGGGAAGAGACAATGAACAAAAATATGTAAACAAAAACAACAAAACTCTAGGAAGTAATGCGTATAATGAACAATAAAGCAGGGAAGGATATGGAGGGAGTGCAGGAAGTGTGTTATTTTGGATAGGGTTTTCCCCGAAGGCCACTCTTAGGTGGTCATATTTGGGCAGAGAACTTAATCAGGGGAGGGATTGGGAATCCATGCCAACCAAAGTCTCCATGGAAGTGCCAATAGTTTGTGCCCAAATTCTCTTTCATTCTGACTTCACCACCACCTCCCTGCTATTAAGCAATTGGAAGAGCAATTGTATGACCACTTTGGAATAACTGGTGAGTAAATGGCCAAGCTCCAGTTTAAGCAGCAGTCTTCCATTCCTGTAGAAAACTGGTTGGCACCAAAAATCAAATTGGATTTTTAGGATAAGGGCCCAGAAGATCTGCTTAAGTTACCAGTGACACACCAGCCTCTGATTATTCCTTCCTGGCTCTATCTCCTCCACTCAGCATTTAAACATAGGTCCCCAAGGTTCTGTCCTGATCTACTCTTGACTGTAAACATAACACTTCTCAGAACTGATTCACTCCAGAAGCTTTAATTCCCACCTGCATCCAGTCCTGGCCTTTTTCCTGAGCTTCATAATGCTATATCCAATTGCCTATTCAACATTTCTACTGGATGATCTGTAAGCACCCGAATTAGTTGTCTTCCTCCCTTGTGTGTTCTCTATCTCAGCTGCCAACACCATCACCCACTGAGCTAGAAATTTAAGACTCCTTCATCTCCTACCTAATCAGGCATCCATTTAGTCCTGCTCATTTCTTTTCCCTCATAAACCTCTCTCCAGTTCCGCTATTTTATTCCCACTGCCTCTGCCACAATTCAGGTCCTCGTGGTCATCTCTCTGCCTCTGCTTTTGGCTTCCATAAATCCATTTTTACTGTGCAGCTGGAGTAGGACCTTTTTG